TCACCATGTTGACCAGGATGGTCTCGATCTCTTGACCTCGTGATCCACCCGCCTCGGCCTCCCAAAGTGCTGGGATTACAGGCGTGAGCCACCGCGCCCGGCCTGTGCTTTTATGTTCTTGAGGGTATTTGTCTCTAATTTTCTTTTCATGTAATATTTTTATCTTATTTTTATATCAGTTATGTTGGCCTTAAACAATGAGTTGGGAAGTCTTCCTTTTCTGTTTTCTGGAAGAGATTGTGTAGTTTTGTTGTTTTTTCTTCTTCTTTAAATTTGATAGAATTCATCAGTAAAGCCTTCTAGTCCTGGAATTTTCTCCATGAGAAAGTTCTTAACCACAAATTTCATTAACAGATGTAGGGCTAATTTTGCCATTTATTTCTTGCCAAGTAAGCTTTAGTAGTTTTTCCTTCTTCAAGTAATTTGTCTATTCATCTGTGTTGTTTATTAGCATAAAGTTGTTTGCAATAATATTTCTTTATTTTTCTTTTAATTGCTGTAGGATCTTTAGGGATGACCCCTCTTTTATCTTGACATTAGTTTGGCTAGAGAGTTACCAATTTTATTAATTGTTTCAAAGGACCAGCTTTTGGTCATTGATGTTTCTCTGTTGTTTTTCCGTCTTTTTTATTTCTGTTTTTTATTTTCTCCTTCTTCCAGTTTAATCTGCTCCACTTTCTAGCTTCTTAAGATTGAAGATTAGATCACTGATTTCAGACTTTTTTTAATGTAAGCATTTAAAACTATAAATTTCCTTGTAAACACTGATTTTTTAAGCTATTGTATTACATATCCCATTAATTTTGATTTGTGTTTATAGTTTATGCATTTCAATATATTTTCTACTTTTTCTTGTGATTTTTTTCTTCTGTGAGTCACAAGTTATTAGACATGTCTTATGTAATTTCCAGATATTTAAGGATTTTCTAGATATCTTTCTGGTATGGGTTTTTGTTTAATTCTGTTGCGATCAAAGAACATGGCTTGTATAACTTGAATCCTCTCAGTTTCGTTTTCGAGACTTGTTTTATGGCCCAGAATGCTAAATCCTTGGTGAATGTTCCATGTGCATTTGAAAAGAACGTGTGTTTTGTTGTTGGGTGGATTGTATTTTTCAGGTCTTCTAGAATTACATTGATTTTTTTTTCTACTTATTTTATTAATCACAGAGGGAGGAGATTGCTAGAAATCTCCAGTAATAATTGTGGATATTCATATAGCCACTCCAGCTTTCTTTTCATGAGTGTTTGCATAGTTACCTTTTTCTACCTTTTTATTTTTTAATTTATTTATATATATTTTTTGAGACAGAGCCTCACTCTATTGCCCAGGTTGGAGTGCAGTAGGGCAACCTCAGTTCATTGCAACCTCCGCCTCTCAGGTTCAAGTGATTCTGTCGCCTCAGCCTTCCCAAGTAGCTGAGATTACAGGTGCACACCACCATGCCCGGCTAATTTTTGTATTTTTA